TCTTGCCGGGAATCGGTTGCACGTCGAATCCTGCTGATTGGGCTTGCCGACGTCCGACAAACTCGTCCAAGGCGCTGGGTCACTGCTAAGGGGTCTCTGTTCAGAGTGTTCCCAAGGTTTTTTTCACTTCTTCCTCTACTGGGGAGGTACTTATGGGCTATTGGTTCATTATTGAGCACCCACTACCCTAAAGCTTGATCGCGGAAATTATCTTTGAGAGGAGAATCGACCGACTTTACTTGTTCAAACCTCATTGCCGAAAACACCGATCTGACCATCAAGTGTGTAAGCCTGAGCAACTAATGGGGAACCGCCTTTGAAATATCACTGAACAGCGATCTTAATAATATAAACTTTATTTAAAAAAGCAACAAAACGTGCAATGACAGTCAAGGACTATAGTGGGATTACGTGGGAATTTGGCGTGCGGTCGCAGCGCGTCAATCGATTTTCCAAAGACTAGCTTCGGGGTGACACCCACAGAACCACTTCATATTCCGTGACAGCCACTGTAATTGCATGCTTAATAAAACGGTCAAACTCACCAAAAAGGCTCACAGAATAGCAAGAATATAACAGGTACACGCAATCGTGGGCATAGAAAATGATCTGCACCACATCTCAGCAAACAGGTAACGGTATACAAACTACAATAAATTATCTGCTTTCAAATCGCGTTCAAAAAGAAGAAATGAGATGAGCAGGTCAATACAATTGTCGAGGTTCACAAAGCATGAATACTACTATTGGAGAAAATATCGAAACATAATACAGAACAGATGACTAGTATTAAAAAAGGAAAAGCGCAGATCTCAATAAAGTCGTACACATATAAGCGACACAACGAATAGAAAGCACATGATATGCAATGCAGCACAACACTAAGCCTGAGCGATTCACGGAGCTTTGGGCACAACGACGAAACCTGAAAAATACACATAAAGTTCTGAGAACGACTATCAGTACCCATTTTCCACACCGCGCAGCAGTGCACACTGAACGCTGGAGAATCCCCAGAAGGGATCGTATTCAGTCGCTGGAGGGAGAAGATATTAGGTCGCGGCCAAAATAATGACCGTTTTCGCACCTGCTATGTTCCACTGATCATAATTCATTGAAAACTTAGGCAAATATAGTAATTTAATATATCGTTCGGAAGCACATTTTTCAAGCTATCGTACAATTTTTTCCCGTTTCTCTGCCACCATTTCTTCTACGATTTTGGGTCACCCGCGAAGATGTTGTCAAGACGCGAAATCCGACTCATCATGCTTCACGAGTACAAACTCGGCCGTAATGCTGCGGAAGCAGCTAGGAATATCACCAACGCATGGGAAGGTACTACAAATGAGCGCACCACGCGTAGGTGGTTCGACAAATTCCGAAATGGAGACTTCAACCTGGAAGATCAGGAGGGACGCGGTCGGCCATCGGAAGTTAAAGACGACGAATTGAAGGCACAGATAGAAGCCAACCCAAGAGCATCCACAAGGGAAATTGCTGAAGAGCTGGGAGTTGACTTCGGAACTGTAGCACGTCATTTGAAGAAAATTGGGAAGGTAAAAAAACTTGACAAGTGGATCATCCCGCATGAGTTGGAATGAGCAGCTACACACCGCAATGCTCGACGTATTCGCACAGTGGTCTTGTAACATCATCCTTTGCGGAGCAAAAAACTACCTTCTGTATAACGGCATGTGAACGAATCGACGAGAAAAAAAATCGGATATCAAATAAGCGACAATAGAATCAACACGTCAGACAGCTGCTCGCAAATCGCTACAGACCGAAGCCGCTAAACATTTTCCACAAGCGAGTTCCACCAAAAAATGCCCATGCTGATCGTTGGTGGTACTACAGCCGCGTTTGATCCACCACATGCTTCCGCTGGGCTCAAGGAGAAACCACCACAGCGCGAAGTACTGTCGAGAATAATCGAAAAATGCAAGCCAAAAAATTGCACCGAGAGTGGGAGGAGATAACAAAAAGGTGCGATTTCCTACTTACCTCCATGAACAACACAGCCCGACGCAATGTCCTCCAATTTGATGGGCAAAAACAAGTCGGAGATGACGTTGGGCATATTGAACTCTCCGACCAATCCCTTTTATACTCAGCAGAGACCTTTCTCCTACGGATTACTACTTTTTCAAGCATCTCGAAATATTCTTACGCGAGAAATGCTTCCGAAACCAAGACGACGTAGAAAAGGCATTCAACGATTTCGTCGATTCCAGAACTCCAGAATTTTATGCTGCCGGAATATCTAAACTGCCTTCTCGTTGGCAGAAATGTGTTGATTCTTTTGGTCGTTATTTCGATTGAAAAGCAACACTTTGAAGCGAGTTATGATATTTCAAAATATTTGCTTTAAAACGGTCATTATTTTTGCCACGATCTAATAGTAGGCCATTTGAACTTTTTTTGGTATTTTTCCCTTTCACACGCGCTGTCCACGACGTCATTGGTGGGGTGGGAGGAGGATAGTATTTGCTTGCAGGTTTGAGAGAGAGTGAAGGTTCCTATCTGGCTTCAGGAAACCCCTCCCATTCACCCCTCTTCCCATAGCTGGCAAAGCAGCCCAAGTCTCAATCTCCAACAAGCACTTTCAATAACTGTTTGTTGGCGACTTTCTCCCCCCCCCCCAACTGAAAAATGCGAGGCACATCCGTTGTGGGTGGAGCGTGCATGGGGTGGGCGGAGCCAGACTAAAAATTCGTAAAACGCTTCCAGAGCACTCCAGACACCGGGAAAAAGTGGATTAATGTCAGCGATGGGTCACCGGTTGAGAAGTACGAGGCACACCCGTTGTGGGCGGAGCGTGAGGAGAGCTGGGCGGGGCCAAACGAAAAAGACTTGAAACGTTCCCAGAGCAGTCCAGACACCGGCAAAAGGTGAGCAGAGGTGTGCAAGTCCTCGGCCATTGAAGTGAGATAGACACGCCCATTGTGGGCGAAGCAGGTGTCGAGGTGGGAGGGGCAAAAGTCAAAAATTCACGAGTTGCTTGCAGAGCAGCATATGCACCGGGGACATGTGGACTGAAGGTCACAAGGGGTTAGTGGATGAAATGGGGCAGACATCCTCAAAATGGGCGGGACGTACTGGCGGGGCGTGCTTGCTACGAGATTTTATATTTCGGACCTGAGTGACTTTAGGGATTGCAAAAAGTCGTTGGAGAAAAGAAACATACAGCGAAGGATGAATGCGTCTGTGGTGTATACAGTCCACAGTAGGCTGTGGTGCCTTCAAGCACGAGCTGCCTACGTTTATTGAGCTTAGTGCATCGGCAGCCATGCACTTAACCACCGGTCGTCGTAAATGCATTAGATACCAGTCGGCTCGCCGGCTGACGCCGACGCGCCTCCTCTGTGATACGGCCCGGCCTTGCCGGGCGGGCGTGGCTTCGTCTACCCTACCTGCTTTCGTACGTTCAAATGCACGACTGATACCCGGCTTTCTGTCATCTCTGCACTTCATCAATGCTCCTTACCATAATGTCATGCACAGTAATAGTGTTGAAAATAGCAGGTATGATGTTATTGGTCAAGGAGCGTTGGTTATCTGTTCAGATAAAAGAAAAGCCGCATATCAGTTGGGTATATAAACATGTGGAAGAAGGTAAGCGCGGCGAAGCCGGGCCGTATCACAGAAGGAGGCGCGCCGGCGTCAGCCGGCGAGCCGACTGGTATAAAATAGTGAGGACATCCAGAACGGGGCACCTCGCGTTAACTGCGTTAGTGTTCCCTAACACTGACAGAGCTGACACGCTGCAATATAGCCATGTTAAATCAATGGGGCTTCGATGCCCGCACATATAACCTTGAAGGCATGGAAAGAAAGGGGCTCAGCAAAGCCCTTGGGGCGGGTCTGGGCCGCTCTCGGCCCGCAAGAGAATCGTAATTCGCCGCGCCACTGGGCGTCGACGTCGCGCCCGCTAATGACGACGATTTCAGGTGGTATTGGTCGAGAATAGACAATGTATGACCAAGAATAAATGTCTACCATGTCCTTGTCTACATGAAATCCGATGCTCCAATCGAAAGGGTAGTGCAAATTGAGGAAACGTCGCGCCCATTGCCGCGCGCGACGAAGCGGCATTCGACGATTCTCTTGCCCGTCTCCCCAGCCAAGGTTAACCGCATCCGAAAGATTCCAATCCAGTAAAATCATTATTTATATCATATACAAACCCTTTCGGCGACTCTGTTCTGTTTCGCTTCCCTCATCTCTTTTCCTACGTTTCAATCCTTTCTTTCCTTTTTTCGGCCTCACTCTGCCCTTTTAATCCCCTCTAAACCCTTGTGAGAAGAACACGCTAAGCCCCGTTTTCAACAAACACCTCATCGATCACCAAACCGTTTACATTTCGCTGTTGAACCCCCGTCTTCAGCGAGCATGAAATAAAAATGCTGTAATGTATACGTTTCAAAATAACAAGTTTTTTCATCCACTAGAAAAGCACTCACCATTGTGTCGTCGGCCTATCACAGGGCATTGAACCTAATCTTGCTTAATGTACTGCATAAATCTCACATGTAATGGTGCAAGCATCAGCAAGATTATGGCAAGGAATGGTGCCAATGAGATTAGAAAAACCTGAAAGACATCCTTTCGAACCATTCTCAACATGGCATGCAAAAAACAGTATTTTTCAATACGCATTTCATTTTCAACAAAGCACCCTGAACAGATCTCTTTGTCCTTACCACATACTTGGCCTGCTTGCGCTCCTATTGACCTTAAGGTACTTCAGGCAAAGCCCCGCCCCTGCCCCCGTGACGCCCAAGTACATTACGCTGTTTTTCTCCACTATCTGACTCGCAGTTCATGACACCCGATGGGAGCGGGAGG